CCCCTCCTCTCCAGGCTCTTGGCGGCGAGGGACGCCAGATCTGGCGCGGAGGTCCTCTCGCCGGCGTGGTTCGCGTGCCGGCGGCGGGCGGGGGTGGCTCTGGCGAGGCACGGCGCGTCCGTGGCTCTCGTCTGAGCGGAGTGGCGCGGGGCGAGCCGGCGGCGTCTGGGGTCGGCGGTGCCCTGCTCCGGGCGGTGCGGCGCGACCTCGTCCGGCCTGTGGCGCCGTGGTGGCGCCCCTGGTTGGCGTCGGGTCGGCTGGCAGGCAGCCCTCCCGTGCGCGGATCCGTGGCTCTCGGGCCTAATCTGGCGCGTTGGATGGCTCCCGGTCGGGGTGCTGCGGGAGTCTGTTTCATGGCGGGATGCTCAACGGCGGTCCCCTGGATCTGCACGAGGGGTGCAGCGGGTGAGTGGTTGTGGGTGGTGCGCTGACTTCGTCGGAGGCGGCAGCGCATGTGCAGCCATGGAGGCGGCGGCGCTGCGAGGCTCGACTAGGCAGGGCCTGGCGAGCAGCGGGCGCCCGACCACCTACGTGTGAGGCGCGGGCGGTGATGCCTCGGTGAAGTTGGCGTCGAAGTGTGGCTGATGGTGCGGGTCAGGTTCATCTGTGTGGCAGTCCCTAGGTGCGGGTGAAGGCCATCGCGACGGATCTGATCCCCGCATCGACTGGTGGTTGCTGCAGTTCCTGGTGTGCTGAAGGTGGTGGCTGGAGGCGTGCTTCCTCGGCAGTGATGTGTGGCTTCGACTGCAAGTGGCTGCGGTGTTGGCGGTGTGAGGCATCTTTCGGGGCTGGCCGGAAGCTTGGTGGCGTGGAAATGTGCAATGCTACGGATGAAAATTCTGTTCGGCCTTGGTCGGACCGGCGTCGATGGCACCCGTGGGTGTCATTCCCCTTCCTGGAGGCGTCGCCGAGGGTAGCGCCATTGCCCACGTTGCCTTGTATCGGCAACCATCTCCGGGGCGAAAGCCTCGATCCGTAGGATCGGCACGACGGCAGCGTCTTTCTGATGTTGTTCCTCTGTTGGGAGCTTCGTGCTTGGAGATAAGAGGCCCTATGTTGCGCTCCTCCGGCGTGCACCGCTGCTCGGATCGTTCTTCTCTGGCGCTATGTACGATCGTCGCTGGTTCTACCAAGGAAGCTGGAGTTGCTGTTCTTCGATGATCTCCGGCGTCGGTCGAGACGCGGCGAGGATATCGGTTTTGGGTAGGCTCTTGTATGTCGTAATGGGTTGTCGTGTGTGGTTTCCTTTGTTTGGGTCAGGTGTGGAGTTGTGCTACGCTCGTTGTTCGCAGCGAGAGGTAGATGTGGTTGTATGGCTGTACTTCTCTCCTTCTATAAAGCTAAGGTACGCATTTTGCGTACCCTCGAAAATTAATAAAGAGCGGCCAAGGCCTTTCGATTCACAATCCAGAATTGCAAGAGTTCATTTGTCCTAACTTCCACATATGGCACCCTAGTTTGTCACCATTTATTTGTTTCTTTTTTTCTTTGTGGTGATGTCTAATTGGTGTGCTTGACTACTTGTTTTACATAAAACAACTTATACATAGAAACTACGAATGAACTTTCCCAAGTTTTGGAAGCACGTATAAGTTATGCTAGTTAGTTAATGAGGACAGATATCAGAATAAAGAAATAGGACGGAAAGGGAATATACTAGTCAGATCTCTAAGATAATGTCCAGAGATTCATAGATGCACCTTCCTTCAAGGAACCATACCATGGAATTTCACAGCCACAAATCAAAATGGATGGCTAAATTATATGTAGAAAAAGAATAAGACATCAAGCTCATCAGTGCTACGATTTAGGCTCTTCTCCCCTCAAAAAAAGGAATTGGTATGATCTAAGCTTGGTGTTTTCGTATATTCATGCAATTTACTTCCGCTAGCGAAGTTTTAAAACTCATAAAATACACTATTTATTTATTTACTAAATTTCCAAGAAATTCGCTAATGCAGGCATGGCTGGACTTACTGCGTATGCTGGATTTTTCGACGTATCAAAACCAAAGCAAGGCGACTATGTTTTCATCTCATCAGCATCGGGCGCCGTCGGGCAGCTTGTTGGACAGCTTGCCAAGATCACTGGCTGCTATGTGGTTGGCAGTGCTGGTTCCGATGAGAAGGTTTTCCTTTTTTCTGCATACTCATTTTTTCCACGTGCTCTGTATCACTGAAATTGTCTAATAGTTCACTCCCGCAATTGAATGATGAATTGGTTGAATAACTTCAAGAGTTTTTCACTAACCTAAAATATACCCACTCTCTAAAGAAATATAAGATAATTTAGATTACTATATTAGTGATCTAAGCGATCTTATATTTCTTTACGGAGGGAGAGCTCCGTAATGGTATGAAAATAATGTGACGGCTTTTATAATGGTTGCATGCTTTACCATTGGGATCATAATACTAGTTATTTCTACTAAGTGAATTATATTCGACCATTCCATTGTGAAGAAAGTCAGCATGTATGCACATTTTCAATGATAACCATTTTATAGTAACCCCTGGCCAATTGGCAAGGTGTTATATTTACCTTTCTTGTCCCCTTGCCAAAGAACCCTAGCCCTAAAGAAGTAAATCATTGTAATCACTCCATCATGGACTCAGATGATGGAGAGTATGTAAATCATTGTAATCCTACCTCCTAAAGTCAGAAATCTAGCCTGCAAGTAACCAAGTTATTCTCAATTTCTCTTCTATGCTTTTAATAATATGTACAGGAATGCCAAAGTATAATGGAGGAGTCCCACCGTTCAACTTTGAAAGGTGAAAGTATGAGAAAATTCTTTGTCTTTATGGTAACTGCAGGTCAACATCCTAAAAACCAAGTTTGGCTTTGACGATGCTTTCAACTACAAGAAGGAAGAGGACCTCAACGCCGCACTAAAGAGGTTCTAAAAGCCATTTTCCTTATGAAATTCTAAGTTCCAATCACAAATGGCTACTAACCTTTTCCACAAAAAAGAAACAAAAGCTAAACATGGTTCCCTCCCCCGTGATATTTCCTCTCAGATGCTTCCCGCGGGGCATTGACATCTACTTCGAGAACGTGGGCGGTGCGATGCTAGCCGCGGTGCTGCCCAACATGAGGATGAATGGCCGGATCACCGTGTGTGGGATGATCTCGCAGTACAACCTGGAGCAGCCGAATGGTGCCCCTAACCTCTTTTGCTTGGTTGCCAAGCGCATCCGCATGGAGGGATTCATGGTCCTGGACTACTTCGGGACCTACAACAAGTTCGAGGAGGAGATAGCGGGTTACCTCAAGGAAGGGAAGATCAGTGTTGTTGAGGATGTTGCTGAGGGGATCGAGAATGTGTCGACGGCGCTCATCGGGCTCTTCTCTAGGCACAACATTGGGAAGCAGCTTGTCACCATCGCACATGAGTGACATGACAGGCTAACAGAAAGGGCATGGGGATGCAATATATTCATATTGGACGTGTGGAAGTGTTCGTGTTTACGATTGACCTATGTATATCGATGGGATGTCAAAAATATTGGTATTTTATCTCTATTTTTACCTCTTTTATATATACATACAGTACAAATATTATTGTTAAATTGTAGCATTTTGAATATGGATTTTGTTGAATACTTTGGACCATTTGTGTGAGTCAACTATGGCCCATGTGCCACATTTGAGGAATAGTCGGGGGTCGAGGGTTCCAGAAACTTAGCTAGAGCTCCAGGTAAAAATGGGAGGGCCTCAAATCATTGTACACTAGGTATAAGTTATGAAAAAATGTACATAAGGTATAAACCTTTTATGCTATGTTTTTTGTGTTCTTAGAGGTAGCCATCATATGCCAGAGATAGCACCATATGGAATAAAGGTTTCATGACTACATTTCAATCGGAGCCAACACTAGGAGCCAACCTAATGATGTTTCTAACTTGACAACTACTTATGTCCTGATTTATTGGTCCCTTGGTGCTAGAGGAGAGGGTTCCGATCTTTCCATGAGATGATAACTTTCTGTAAGTGCATCTAGTGCCACCCCTAGTTGGTTTTGGAGTATTGACAACAAACCTGGTTGAGGGACTAATGTGTTTGTGAGAATTGCAGGATAACACAGGTAATAGTCCCTCATTGATTCGGTTTTCCTACCGGAGATGACCCCTAAAAATGTATGAAGACATCAAAGACAAAGATGGTATGTGAAGATATTCACATTGAAGACTATGACAAGAGAAGACATTGAGTGAAGACTATGGAACGCGAAGACTTAGTTGTTTCGTTGTTTCCTTTTCTTCTTTGTTGAGTCATAGTACCACCGTACTGTTAAGTGGGGTCCAAGTGAACCAGTCAGAATGACTGAAGTGATGTTTAACCAAAATCCTATGTCTTCGAGCGAAGACAATGAGAGCAAATCTTATCCAGAGCTGGATAAGTCAGCTTTGCTTGTAGCCCAAGTAAAGTTGCTGTGTGTGTTTGAAATCTGACCCAGGGTCATTTAGGACAAATCAGGTCAGGTTGCCTAGTGGCTATAAATAGCCCACCCCTTACACCATAAATTGGTTGGCTGCTCAGAGTTAGTGCACGACTTTTGTCGTTTGAGAGCAACCCACCTCAAAGCCTTTGAGAGAGAAATCCTTGCGGGGACAAAGCCCTAAACACCCAGAGCCAAAGAGTGTTAGGCATCACTGAAGTCTTCCTGTCTGTGTGATCTGAAGACTTATTACACTTGAGGACTGTGAATCCTCCAGCCGGTTAGGCGTCGCGTTCTGAGCATCCAAGAGTCATTGTGGATCACCGGTGAACGAAGTCTGTGAAGGTCTGGAAGTCTACCTTGAAGACTTACCAGAATGATTGGGCGAGGACTGGGTGTCCTTAGCTCAAGGGGAATAAGGTGAAGACACGGTCTTCTGAGTTAAATCTCAGCCTCCCTAACCAGACGTACAGTTGTCACAGCAACTGGAACTGGTCCAACAAATCATTGTATTTAACGAGCAACTAGTTCTATCCTTCCCATCTCTTTATTACAGTTGGTCCTTGTGAAGTCATTGCCTGTTTGCATTATATTTTTGTCTTCACTGTGTGACTGCTTGTTCTGATTGGCTTCATACTATGTTCCATCCTGATCCATACTGCCTAGCTGCTATTAGTCTTTGTGCTTTCACTTTATTGAATACTTGACTATGGCTTGCCTAGTGTAGTCTACCTTCTGCTGCATGGTAATAGGTTTATTTCTATCGTTTGTCTTCGAAACTTCCATGTTTTGAAGACTTTCATAAAAATCACCTATTCACCCCCCTCTAGTCGATCACTAGCACTTTCAATTGGTATCAGAGCAAGGTACTCCCTTGTTCTGTGTGATTCGGTTTAACCACCTGGAGTTTTAGCTATGTCGACTGCAGTGATAATCAAAGTCTCCGCTGCGTGCCCCGTCTTCGATGGAACTGAATATCCCTACTGGAAGAATAAGATGCGCATGCATCTTGAAACCATTGATGTCGACCTCTGGTATGTCGTCAAGAATGGCGTTCCCAAGGCTGGTGAAGGTGTCACCGCTGCTGATGTCAAGAAGTTTGTTCAACTAGATTCCACTGCCAAGAACATCATCTATGGTCATCTGACAAAAGGGCAGTATGGCCGTGTGAGTGCTCTAGAAACCTCTAAGCTAGTCTGGGACTGGCTCTCCAAGGTCAACAAAGGCGTCTCAACCCAGAGAGATCAAAGGATGAGTGTCCTTCGCAACCTCTTCAACCGCTTCAAGAGAAACGACAATGAGAATGTTCAGCTCATGTTCGATTGACTCACTGACATCACAAATGAGCTTCAAGCTCTCGGTGCTACTGAGATCACCAAGCATGAAATCGTCAAGACGCTCCTGAGATCACTTGACAGCTTGTTTGACACTCTAGCCCTGATGATACAAGAACGCCCTGACTTCAAGAGACTCGATCCGTCTGACATACTTGAAAGGCTCAACACACATGAGTTTCAGCTTTCTGAGAAAAGAGACATCTACGGTCCCAACTATGGCCGAACTCGTGCCTTGAAGGCAAAAGTTGTTTCCTCATCTGAAGAAGAATCTGACTGCAGTTCTGATGATCCTAAAGACATTAGAAAGGAGCTTGCTATGCTTGTGAAGAAGTTCCAGAAATTCACCAAGAAGAAAGGCTTCAGAAAGTCCTCACGATCCAGCTCAAGGAATGATGAAGCTTCTGCTCATGACTACAAGAAGAGAACATGCCACAAGTGCAAGAAACCTGGTCACTACATTTCTGAGTGTACGCAGTGGAACAATGAGAACAAGAAGAAGAAGAAGAAGAAGAAGAAGAAGAAGAAGAAGAAGAAGAGCAAGGAATATGATTCTGACGACAAGAAGAAGAAGAAATACTCAAAGTCTTCTTCCAAGTCTTCCTCAAAGTCTTCATCACACAAGAAGAGCTCATCTGGCAAGACTCATGCGTTTGTTGGCAAGGAAATGGATTCAGAGGAGGAGTCTGCTTCTGAGGAGGCAGAGGTGGAGTCTGAGGAGGAGTCCGATTCTGGCGTTGCAAGTCTGGCTACAGCCTATGTTGCCAAGTCCATCTTCAACACAGAAGACAATGACTTCGACACTGACGCCGATGCTAATAACAAGGACAACTCCGCTCCCACCTACTGCTTCATGGCACGCGGTGCCAAGGTAAACTCACGCATTACTCACTATCAAACATCCAGTGAAGATGACTCTGATTGTGGTTCCAAACCCAGCTACAAAACACTTGCTAAAATTGCAACTGAACTACAGAAAGCTATGGAACATATTCAAAAACTGTTAGACAAAAGCGATGACTTGTTAGATGCTGAAATGACTCGATCTCAGTCCTTAATTGAAGACATAAAAAATCTTCATGTTAAGTATGAGGAAGTTGAAAGTCGTCATGAAACGCTCTCAATAACTCATGAAAAGCTTTCCTATGATTATCTTCAAAGGAAGCAAGATCTTGAGAAATTGAGAGCGGCTCATGAAGATCTTCAAAAGCAAAACGAGTCACTTCGCGCCAAACAGATCAGTCCCGCTCAGGAAGGATTTGAACCACCATGTCTTAAATGCATTGAGCGTGATAACGCTACTTCTGTTGCTGGATGTTCTACTGCTGCTACTGTTGCAATATCTTCAACTGTTGATGTGGTAACTAACCCCTCTGCTGAGGATGGCACTGCTATTGCTGATGAAAATGCTAGGTTAAAGACATTGCTTGAAACAGGGATGTATAAAAGTCTCAAAGGGCATCACACACTATGTGATGTCCTCAAAAGGCAGATTCTGAACCGAAACCCTAGGAAAGAGGGTGTTAGGTTCGAAAGGAAAATGAATGCTGATGGCTCTTACTGGAAACCTGAGCAGTACCCCAAAACCACATGGGTTGCTGCAAAGGAACCTTCAGTGGATCCATCCACCCTATCTGGCTTCACTTGTCCTAATCCCATCATCATTGATGAATCCTTTGATGCAAACTATAAACTGTTTAAAAATCAGAATGGTGAAGTGCTTGCCAGGTATATTGGTACTAACTGTAGGAATGGGCCACCTATGAAGAAAGTCTGGGTGCCGAAAAAGTGTCTGGAGAATCTTCGTGTGAATATCTTCAACTGTTGATGTGGTAACTAACCCCTCTACTGAGGATGGCACTGCTATTGCTGATGAAAATGCTAGGTTGAAGACATTGCTTGAAACAGGGATGTACAAAAGTATCAAAGGGCATCACACACTATGTGATGTCCTCAAAAGGCAGATTCTGAACCGAAACCCTAGGAAAGAGGGTGTTAGGTTCGAAAGGAAAATGAATGTTGATGGCTCTTACTGGAAACCTGAGCAGTACCCCAAAACCACATGGGTTGCTACAAAGGAACCTTCAGTGGATCCATCCACCCTATCTGGCTTCACTTGTCCTAATCCCATCATCATTGATGAATCCTTTGATGCAAACTATAAACTGTTTAAAAATCAGAATGGTGAAGTGCTTGCCAGGTATATTGGTACTAACTGTAGGAATGGGCCACCTATGAACAAAGTCTGGGTGCCGAAAAAGTGTCTGGAGAATCTTCGTGTGAATGTCGTCATGACACCACAAGTGAAGAAGACAAACCCCAGACCACAGGCTTCATATGGTCCAAAGGCTTCATACAGACAGAGGACTCGCCTGAGTCGCACTAACGAAAATGTTTTGCAGGGAAACCGTACTCAGGCCTATGAATACGAGCGTGTTTCATCAAACTGCCATGTTCATAAGACCCAGAACTACTCTGTTTATTCTTATGAGTACTATTCTCCACCTGCAAGACTATTTGCTAGGGCTCCAAAGCCAAAGTTCTCAGATGTTGCACTTAGACTCATTGCTTCGAAGCCACCCTTGAAGATGTGGGTGGCTAAGAAAGCTTAACTCTCTTTTGCG